TAACAATCATCTTTTTTTTTCATAGAGTTACTCCGATTGACTGAAATTTAAAATCCGCACTTCGCACAATGTGAATTTGCGGCAAAATTGTTACAGTGATTACTTAAATTAATTTCGATTAATCGAAATGATTGAGCATTACATCGAGGGAGCTGCTTGAGAACAACCTTAGTCAGCTGATCAACCATTCAAATTATCGAAATGAGAGTATAATGATAATCTACATAGCGATATTGTTTATTCAAATATTTAAATATACCTTTATATGGTAAACATAAAAAAAAAAATACACTTAAATGTTTAGAATATACTATGAAAAAAGCAAATACGAATTCGCTATTTCGAGAATTTTCACTGCAATAAATTTTATCTACTATATATCATTAAAGATGATCTTTTTCATACAGTATATTCGTAAAACTAATCTATAGTGACTAAAATAATAATAAAACTTTTGTGGCATTTTTCAAATACAAAATATTAGACCTAGAATTATCGTGATAAAGGGAAGTACGTTAGCAAAAATAAAAAAGTATGTAGAAGTTTAAAATTAAATTACCTCACCAATTGTCGAATTGCTTTAACATTTAATAGAGCAGAAGGTATAGTTTCTAAATGTTTATACTGTAACTTCGAATTTGTACTCGTGGTTTCGAATTCATTCTTTTGACAGCAACTCATTACTTTAATAAGACTTTATTATTACACGATCGGAAAAACCAGCCAATCACAATAAAAGCTGGGCATTCGTTTATTATCAAAAGTCTGCTGATATGAGTAATGCACCCGGAGTTTTTGAAAGTTGACAACTGTTATGGTGATAAAATTGGAGTTGAAAAGAACGAACATAAGGCATTTACTTATTATCAAAACTCTGCTGATATGGGTGGTGCTCGTGGTGAAAGTAATGTTGGTTATTGTTATCATATTGTATTGGAACTTGAGTAAAAAAAAGAATATTATATAGTTATTCAATAATTTACTATCTCAGCTTATGAAGTAAGATCAATAATTTTATTATATAAAAAGTATCATAAAATAATTGATTTATTTTACTAGACTGATTATAGTAAAGCATTGAATAAAAGGCATTTATTTATTATTAAAAATCTTCTGATATGGGTAATGTCTTGGAGCAAATCAAATTGGAATTGAAATAAAAGCGTTTAAGTGGTACATGAAGTCTGCAAAGATGGGTAATGCTAATGGAATGTGTAATGTAAGTTTATATTATCTATTTAGATTTGGAATAACTAGAGATTTATAACTAGCTAATCATTTGTATCGAATGTAAATGACACTCAGGTAAATATATTTACTAATTTATATGAATTGGGGACGAAACAACTTTACGTTAGAAAATTTTAATTGAGGTTTAAAAGAAATATTTAATGATGAGAAAAATCAAAAAAGTTGGCAAATGTGGATTTTCAACAGTGTACAGCGCGGATTGATCACGCAATTTTTTTTGTAAAGTCGCTGCATCAAATAAATTATGAAGAATTTATAATTTTACTATAATTATATATTTAATTACTTAGATGACAAATTTATTTAATTAGTTAAAAGCATATAAAAAATCAGATATGAAAATTCTTCGTTTTAAATGTCACGGAATAACAACAACCGGACTCCAAAGAATATAAACTTGCCTTAAAATACGTATCAAAAGGTTTTTTAAGAGATAACCTCCAAGATGTATATCAAATAAAATGGAAACATAAGCTAAAACTATTAAATTATATGTTTGTAACCTTGAAGCAATTCATTCTCAAGGATTCACAGAGATTTGCACAGTGAAAATATTTTACATGGTTTAGCTCTGATCTGGGATTATCAAAGTCTAATTCTGTGCAATTTTGCCATAGAAATTTTTAAGGGTCAATCGTATACTATATTTATTCATTTGGAATTATATTGTAAAGATATTATCTTGCTATCATAAATTTAGTAAACAACAGCTTCAATTTACCAACAATTAACAAAGAAGCACCACTATGTTTCGTAAATTTGATAAAAAAAAATGTTGGGATAAAGAGCTTGAAAAATGACAAGTAATAAAAAATTTGTTGGAATTAAATAAACCCAAGGTAACACTCGAAAATATCGAAAAATCATATGCAAGTACGTATAGTAATAGAAGCAAATTTATTCTTTATAATGAGTCAATTTCAGATTTTGACAACGGATTACAAAATTTAAAAGAACTGATACTGTTATCCCTAATAGTAATTAAATTTATCATTCGATTTTTTTTGTTTTTATATGTATATACTTTTTACAAAATTTAAAATTTTTTAAATTTGATTAAAATATAACCAAGTTTCTCGTGGAAACTAGTTAGCTCGATCTGAACGATGAAGCTACCCCGGTATTCCCGGTATTGTGAAAGATGTAACAACATTAAGATTTTTTAATATTATGTGTAACATGAAAATTATACTTTTTTAAAAAAAAAATGCAAGTCGAATTACGTAACTCAAAATTTGACCTATAAAACCACTTATCATTTATGCAAAATTTTGGCGTAAACTAAGTCTAGTCGTAATCATCATTTAATCTTAACATTGCTGTAAAAATTGTGTATATTTCAATCGTTTTTGATGGGATTTAATTGGTGCATCTTTCACAGTGTTGTTGAAATATCTGAAAGATAACAACCCAGAAATCTAATAACAATTTTAATTGCAAAAGAAGGAAACTATTAACCAATTCTGGACTTAGCGTTCATAAATAATGTTGTACAAAGTAGAGCGAGTGAAGGTATAAGGAGTTAATGGATAATTATAAAGTATTGGTTAATCTTAATACGGTGGCACTTATTTCCTTGATAATCGTTCTCCGAAAGTTAAGGTTGGACCAATTTTAAAGTTAGGGTTGGCCCGATTTAAAATTAGGGGGTGACAAGAATTAGATGTCGGAGAAAAAAATCATATATATTTTATGATTACGGTACGATTCCCCGAAAGTTATTTACCCGACAGGCCACTTACCCGACATCACAAGGGTGACAAATTGTTAAAAATATATACCTGCAGCTAATCAAATGCTAACCTAACCCTATGTGATGTCGGGTAAGTGACCTGTCGGTTAAATAGCTTCCGGGGATTGAGCGACAACCGTTTTAATATAATTTGAATGCAATTTTAATATAAGACAGATTAAAAATTTAATACAGTTAATATAATATCAGAAACCAAATGTAAATATCTTTTTTTAGCCATTAGTTTTGACAGATTGGTTTCGGAAGGTTACAAAATTTAATTTGCATGATATCAATGATATTATGTGATACTTATCGTTATTAAATCGTTATTAAATCAAGTAAAAAAAAAAAGAAATCCGTAATTTTTCTAAACGGGTAATAAAACACTATGCAGCCGAATTTTCTTAAAACGCGATTCGACTACGTAAAAGCATAGAAAAAGTTTAATTATGCATTTTACAAACCCAAAACTTGTACGGTAATTCCAAACTTGTATAAGAGTTAGAAATGTCAATACTTATTGATTGCATTTGTTAGGTAGTATTTGTGGAGGTCTAACTGCACATATTATCCGTTAAAAAAAAATTATGCATATAACGTATAACAGATTATTAGTTAAATTAAATGTAATATGTAATTAAATTAATTACAAACAGTTCGTGTAACAGGCTATTTAAAGAAAAAAAAAGAATTAATAAATTTTTAAATGACTATAATAAGAAAATTAACGGTTAACAGTTTTTAACAAGTATCAGTAATAATTAAATTTAATAACAGTTTAGATCCGTTCCAGGCCTATATAGGTATATGAAAGAGTAAATATGGAAATATAGTTTATCACATCGTATTACATGGATAGTTTCTAGATCGATGATGTTTAAATTAGGTTATCGTTATCATAAACTCATGACATAAACAGTTGTCAAATTAATAATGAAATAAACAAATTAATATTTACAGGTTTGTTTATCTTCTATCTATAAAATACTATAATCATTGTATGTATCAGAAATTTAAATGGTTAAAGTTCATGGTTTAGGGATAAAGTTCGGACACAAGAACTCTTTCGTACATATTCAGTATACAATGCCTTTATTATTTCCTGATTCTAGAATGAATACTTTCACTACCTAAAGGTACCCAGAAGTACGTACGTACGTATGTAAGCAAGAACACTGCGTTAAATTATAACAATTAGCATAAAGTTAAAACTTTATTTTGTCTTTAGAGTTACGAAATCTTATCGATTGGTTTTGTATAAACTTTTCAAATGCATAACGAAAGTTTTTTTTACGTATGTATTACTGAAAAAGATAACAAGTTATCTTATCTTTCACATGAAATTGAAATTATCATTTTTGACTCGTTCGATGTATTAAAATTAACTGTGTAATTAAATAAATGCAGCCACTTAATTTGAGGAGAATATGATTCGATAATATTACTGCAAAACATATGGAACTTTATTGACGTACTTAACAATTACGGATTAATAGAAATTTTGCTTTTTATAAATTCACGTACCGGGTACGTACGTAGTACGTATTAGGTATATATGCGTACGTATATATGAGTGCGTCTATATATGCGTACGTATATTCGTACGTACGTATTGCGTACGTAAGTAATTAGGGGTAACGTTTCCAGATTAAAGGTAATCAACTACCACTTAAGTCATATAAATATTTACATTTGGCATGTTTGCATTTGAATGATGAAATATGAACGTTGTAAGCGTAACACTTCAAATATTAACTTTTATGTATCAAGAAAAGTACTCTTCAATAAATCACAAATGCAGAATAAATAATAGATTATCGTACAGACTCATTTAATATATACATAAATATTTAAAATGAATTTGTAGTTTGTTTCACCAGGATTGACGAATATCTAATATAAAAAGATGAATTCCACGTCACTTAGTAAATTTATAATTTTTATTTTTCAATTATTTATTAAGCATATTTTTTAATTATCATTTGAATTATCATTTGTCAATACCCGCCAAAGAATGTCTTATGGTTCACGATGGTCAAATAAAAGAAGTTCGGGAATAAAAAATGATTACGATGATGGTCAAATGTCTCCTGTTGATGAAGAACTTATAAGCATAGAAGGAGGCGAATACTTCCTTCCAAGCGCTGATAAAGATATTGAAAGATTACAAATGCAGCATTTTCTTTTTAGATACATCTGGGATGGAAATTTTTCATCTCCGATCCATGACAACTTTATTGATGGTGGTGTTAAAGTGTTGGATATTCAGTACGTATTTATTATTCTCATGCTAACAATACTTATGTTAATTATATTTATTATTTCTATTATATCTATGTTAATTATACCTATTATATCTGTGATGAATTAATGTTTATTTTAGATGTGGTTCCGGGATCTACATTACAGATTTGGCTACTCAATATCCGACATCAACCTTTATCGGAGTCGATGATGATGAAGCTCGTTCTCGCATACATATCGAACTACCAAATGCCGAATTTATTCATCTTAATGATATGTTAGAAGAGTTACCATTTCCAGGTTAATTTTTATAAATTAATTAAATTAGCTACTGTAAATTATATAAATCAAAATTTATTTTACCAAATTTTTCTTTATTTTTAGATGATACTTTTGATTTCGTGAACCAAAGGTTTTTCACAACTGTATCCATTGATAAATGGAAAATGTTTATCTTACCAGAGATTATTCGTGTTTTAAAACCAAATTCATATTTAGAGATAATGGTTAATATTCATTTTCTTGGAATTTTTTGTTTAACCAAGTGTAATCTATAATCCGTAATATCGTATAACTTCTTTATCACATACTGTAGGAGATGCCGGCTTGGTGCGATATGGGTCCTGTAACAAAACAAATAATGAAATCCTGTATGTGTTTCGTTTTGAATGATTAAGATTATGCGAATACGATTGAAATGTTATTAATATATTTATTTCGATTATAGTTAAAGAATATCTGGAAACAATAAATGTTTACCATACAGAACCTCTTCAATTGGAACAGATTTTAAAACACTCAGGACTTGTCAAAAATATTCATTGTTATTCAAAAACTACTCATTTATGGAGAGGAATGGTTGGTCAATTGGTAATTATAGTTTTACGACGGCATTAGTATTACGTATTTATGTGTTGCATCACGTGCATCACGTGTATCACGTGCATCGTAACGAATGATTTTTGTATTACGTACTAGCTTTTCCGAAATCAACTTCAAAAAATTGAATCATGGAAATCCGGTCTATGTGAATATTTGAAAATAAACGAAAAGCATTTCAATAGTATGACCGAAACAATGCAGGATGAAATAATTAAATATAAAACCTCTCTTACAACTTATAGGTATTTTTCATATTTAGATCCCACGCGTTTTTTTTTTATTTCAAACATTTTACATTAACCTTTTTCATTCTTTTTTTTTAGAATTTATTGTGAAAAAATTTAAGCATTCATTGTACACATTTCTATGAATATATTTATGTTGTAAGGATTTAATGTAATATAACCCATTTTTATCATTAGTATTAATATTATTACTATGATTGTAAATATACTGTCTTCCTTTATTATTATATATGCTATATACGTTTACTATATATATATGTAAATATATAGTATTTATCCGGTCATATAACATTTCACAAAGATAGAAATTTTTTTTTTTGTTATTAAATAAAAATTTTTTTCCGTTCGTTTTCCAAACTATAATAGAATATCTGTTTTCTATGTTTAAAAAATTTATCCCTTGAAAAATTGTGCTACGTATTACAACATATAAATACTTGGTATGTTAATTACGTAATATCACTTCAGGAGATACTGTAACTTTATACTTACAGGGTTTCCCTCTCGATCACAAAACCCCGTATCACTATAAATTTTTTTTTTTTTTACTTAACTTGGTATATCGTATCATTTATTTTATCTCCCCGTTATTATTTATTTGTATATTTGACATTCGGGTATACCATTTTTAGTATACACTGCATAATCTAGCACTAGATATCCTATCCTTGATATTGTTTTCTAAAGACATCATCGAACTGCTTGCCATCTGTAAAGTGCGAGTTGATAACGCAATTAATCATTAAAAAAATTAGATTTCATATGATTTTATTATTTTATTATGCAATATATAAAAGGTACTGACATTACAAAATCTTAACTAGTATTTACTGTATAGTTCGACTTGAACATATGCAGAATTGTGTGATTTCATTATTACAATTACGTAATAGTTATCAAAGTTTTATACGAATTCGTAATAACATACGATATGACATTAGATATCTTTCATCATCTACATAGATGATCGCACCCCTATTAATTTACGTATGATGATAACAATAAATGATTAGATGCTTTATCGTTATTTAATAGTTATAGATTATTACTTACCCCTAATAATTTGATTTATATGGTTAGAGAAGGTTTATTAATATAAATTTATAAAATAATTTTATATTTACCATCTAATAATTATGTATAATTAATTAGAGATATAGAATTTGGATTTATTATTTATTATTTAGAGTTTGGATTTATAAGTAATTTTACGCTTGTTATCTAATAATTTGATCAATATTAATTAGAGAATTTTATTTGCTACAGATATTTCAACTTGTAAATCAATCTTATATTCGCCGACAAATCATTAATTTATACAATTGATTAGATTTATTAGAGAAGCTTTAGATTATATCAATTTGTAAATAACTTTATACTCGCTGTTCTAATAATTTATGTATAATTGGTTAGAATAACTACAGATTATTATTAGTGATGCATTAAGCCGAGCAGCAAGCCATAAGCAACGAGTCATACGGTTACATCTGTTTTCACAATTTCTGAAACAAAATCTGCCGAATGATTTTTCGGCCGTTCCGGTTAAATTATTATTTCGGCATAATAGATTCAATAACGATAAATTACATGAATTAATGCAGTTACACATGATTATTGACCTGCATTACAAAAATTGTGCCAGCATTATTGGATTTTGTGTACTAGCTCTATAAAAGTTCTGGGCAACGTTATTTACATATTATATATCAGAAATTTACCTTTATATTCCTATATCCCTATATATTAGTGATGCAGTAGAATCGTCCCAATGATAGCCCAATGATAGTTGTCATATGGCTGTAACTTGCCGTAACTATAGTAAGTAATATAATAAAGTTACGGCTATAATGCCGTAACTTTATTATATTACTTACTATAGTTACGGCAAGTTACAGCCATGTGACAACTATCATTGGGACGATTCTACTGCATCACTACTATATATAAAAGACATATGCATTATAACTTATATGATACTTTTCTACGATAATTTAACATTATAAATGTCGGCACGTTCAATATTACTAAATTTTCGTTTAAATACTTGCCCAACATGTTTAGTGCTGTAGTGTGTTTAGTCTGTGCGAAAACATATATATTTCAAATTATATACAAACATAAATTGTAATTTATCGTTATGTATCAAATCAATAATTTAACCGGATCGGCCAAAAAACCATTCGGCAAATTTTTATCAGGTGTTTCAGAAATTATGAAACAGTTGTAAGCCGAGCCGATAATCGACTCGGTTCCAGGTATACTAATGAAGTATCAGCTCTAAAAACGGCTCGGTCCAAAATTTTAAAATTGAACATGAAGTCGCAAGCCAATAGGTCTATATCACATGACCATTATTTAATAGCAGTCAGAGGACATGTCACGCAGAGTGACAAATTATAATAAAAATTAATAATAAAAACATATAAATCTACTATAAACTTTAAATCCACATTATTTTCAACTTACAATTAAGTTTTGGGATTAAGCATATAGAAAACGGTAGATTAAAGTTACTTAGAACTTTTTTAAAATTCTGTAACAATTGCATATTTTCTTAACAGAATTTTATGAAAAGTACGTAAAATTTTATTTCGAACAAGCTATATACAAACTTCAAACTTTTAGTTTATCTATGTAAAACTTTTTTCACTAAGATAATCTGCTTTAACTCTCGCTGAATTGTTTTTATGAAATTACTAAATAAAAAATAAAAAATTAAATTAAAATTGCACGAAAAATTTTTCATGTAAGTTGAAAATATAGTAAATTTATATGTTTTTATTGTTAGTTTTTATTATAATTTGTCACTCTGCGTGACATGTTCTCTGACTGATAGTGAACG